TTTGGGGTTCGGGGGTTTTAGGGTTTAGGGCTTTAGGGCTGGGTCTTAGGGCTTCAGGGTTTTAGGGGACGCTTGCAGAACGTTAGGCCGTCAGGTAATGAGATTTTCGGGTGCAAGGTTCCTGAAAAAGGCAACAATTAGCCAGAACTGACTGAAACCTTAACCCCTAAACCCTAAACCCTAAACCCTAAACCCTAAACCCTAAACCGTAAACCCTAAACCCTAAACCCTAGCCAGGACTGACTGATGCCTAAGGCCTAGACCCCCAAAACCGGCAGCCCTAACCCTGTAACCCTAAACCTAAACCCTAAACCCTAAACCCTAAACCCTAAACCCTAGAGAGGTGTCGGGGAGATACAAATCTGTTTAGGGTTTAGGGAACCCACAGGCCCTAGACAGAACTTGCAACATCCCTTAGTTAAGGAATATACTCTCGTCTTCAACAACCAGGCCCGAAAGAGTTCAAACTTTTTCGGATAGACCTAATATATAAAGCCAAAAAGTTTAAGGTTCTCCTATTGACTAACTAAGTATACCTTAATTTATAACAGGACCCCTTGTAAGGTCTATTCCGGACTTGCTCCTGGCGACGACCTTAGGGGCCAAAGGGCTAAGGCTCTATGTAGGGTTTGCAGTTTTAAAGAGGATTTACATCCACCGCAGTGCGAGCAGTCAGGCAGGCTCGGGTGCTTTTGTCTTGCCTCGGGTGCCAAGACATCATAATATGGAGGGACTAGACACGGTTTAAGGTTTAGGGCGTAGGCTCTAACTAATCTAGACTAGCTTGGCCCTTCAATGCCTTTGAACAATTTTCGCAAGTAGGCGCTCCTTTTCAGCCCAATGAGGGAATTCTAAAACGTCCCGAAGGCCTGCCTAGTAACCCAAAACCCCGATGCCCGAACCTGATCTCTACACCATAGGGTCCTTTGTAGGGTTTCTTGGAGGAATCTGCGCGGGTTCCTATAGGGCTTCTATAAAGGTACTACTAGTATAAGGGGTTCTTTTTTTTGGGTAGTTCTCTAAATTAGGGTCTCTTTGGGCCTCGTCTGTATGAGGGTGCCGTACTTAAAAAGGGACCCTAACTGAAAATAGAAAACTACACAACGTACCCAGTACACACTTTCTATTTCATGATGGTTCTTTTCAGGACCAGGCCCACCCTAAACCCTAAACCCTACACTCTAACCCTAAACCCCTAAACCCCAAACCCCTTTTGCATCCAGGCCTATTGCGACTGCCGGGTACCCTGAAGAAAAAGGCCAGGCAAAGCTGCAGCACCATTGACTGCAACACTCACCCAAAACCCCTAAACCCCTAAACCCGAAACCCGAAAGGTACGGTACTAAGAAACGCCCAGGCACAGGAGCCTGAAGAAACCTCGCTCTCCTGTACCCTACTCGGAGGGTCGGAGGACTTAGCAAGGGTTTAGGGTTCAAGGTTAGGGTTTAGGGAATAGTTACTTTCTAGACTTATGGGTATCATTCTAGACTTGTAAGTATCATAACCCCAATAAGAGTCTCCTGCAAGGTACTTAATGAGTCTACTTATTGCCTACTTACTAAGTCCCCCGACCCTCCTTGTAAACCCTCAACCCTGAACCCCAAAAACCCTAAACCCAGGCCCTGAACAAAAGAGGCCTGCGCGTGGGTCATGGCTCGGGCCGGCCACAGGGCCAAAGGACCCTGAGGGGGATTTCAGTTTAGGGTTTAGGGTGATAGACATCTTTACGGTTTGTTTGCCAGAGTTTTGAGCGGGTTTGTTGTTGTGGAACCTGTTTTCGAATCTGGGCTGGGAGGGTCCCGGCCTTGGCGGGGGCTGGTCTTATTCGAGGGTCAGCAGGCCAAAGGTAAGCCCTAAACCCTTTAATTTAGGGTTTAGGGTTTAGGGCTTAGTGTTTATTTTCCCTTGATAGTACTTACTAATTTTGCCGAGCCTCGTGCGCAAACTGGTCAAGATGCTTTTCAGCACCCAACCAGCAATGTTTCTTTTCTGCTCGATGCCGGGGTCCTGTAATCCAGGGCGGTCTGCACTCGAACAGAGCCTGGTCTGAAACACCTGCCCGGTGAAGCACTATGGACCTGGTGACATAAATAGGCACCTGTACTGCAAAGAGGCGGCCGTCATAGTCCCTCATATCAAGGATGATGACAGACGCTTGAGGATCCCATGCTGGGAGGGCCAGAACGAGCCCCCAGCACTCGTCTGGCTGTCAGATGGCCGGAACCAGAACCGGAAAAAGCGGCTGTGCTAGCAGATCTGGCTGCCTGCACGTGTTGCAGGATCTGCATGGCGGCCTGTGAAAGGTCCTGCAAATGCCGCACCAGGTCGTTGCAGCCTTGAACAGGGCCTGCTGGCACTCCGGATGCAACCAGAGGTCGTCGATGACCTGCTGGATTTCGCCAGGCAGGAGGTCGTATGCGACGCTGTGCCCGCGCTCGCGGCGTGCACGAGCGCCGCTCCCGGGCATGCGGGGCTGGATGCCAAGTTTTGACCGCCACGTTTTGACGAGGTGCTACTGTAGAAGCCTAAACAATTACCGATATTACTGTTAGGGTTCCTTACTATAGTATTACTATAAAGGAGCCCAAAACCCTGTTATAATGATTAAGGCTCCTACCTTATAGAACCCTCTTATAGTAGATCCCTTATAGAACCCTTTAAAGGAACCCTTTAAGGGTCTCTTTAAAGGAGCCCTACTCTAATTAATGAGGGGCTGGGAGGGTTGGGCTGGGCTAGCTGGGACCGAGGTTGGGAGGCTTGGGGTCGGGTGGGTTTAGGGTTTGGGGTTTGGGGTTTGGGGTTTAGGGTTTAGGGTTTAGGGTTTAGGGTTTAGGGTTTAGGGTTTAGGGTTCAGGGCCCGGATCTAGGGCCGGGGCTGACTTTGACGGTTTAAGCGGTGCAAGAAAGGAAAGCAATCCCTAAGGCTCTAAGGACCCATCTTTTAAGGTTTTGGGGCCCAAAGACCATACTATATAAGGGGCGATTAAAGGAAAGCTATCCCGAAGGCTGTAAGGACCCATCCTTTAAGGGCTTTGGGCGCAAAGACCATACTATATAAGGCTCTTGGGCTGTTTTGAGCCTTAAGGAATTCCTGTCTATTTCTCTTGGGGGTTGAGGGTTTGGGGCTTAAGGGTGTAGGGTTTGGGGCTTTACGTTTGGGGCTAAGGACCCTGTGGAGGGAAGTTTCAGCACTCTACTCACAGGCTCAGGGACTCAGTTGGGGATGAAGAGACTGGTCGGCAGGTTCCTAGCCTAAGCCCTAAACCCCAAATCCTAAACCCTAAACCCCTAAACCCTAAACCCTCCCTTTTCCTATTATTCAAAATGTATCACAATACTGTTGGGCGACCTGTGCTCAAGGATAGCCTACTTACATAGTGCCGCGATGTTTCAATACAGCTGCGAAACCACGCTAGGCATCCTTGAACCTCCAGGCAGAGCCGAGAGACCGATCGAAGATACCTAAAACCCTGAAGTCCCCTAAACCCTAAACTCTAGAGACCACCAAGCTGGACGCCACTTCAGGGCTTGGGGTTTAGGGGCAAAGGTATATAGGGTTGGAGCTAGTGACTCGACAAAGACCTGATTCCAAAGAGCACTGAGCCCTAAAACCTGACAGCCCTACCGCTACAAGGACTAGATTTTGTAAGTCATAAACAAGGAGCCCTACACAGCTAGGTTATTGACGGTTCAAATGAACCCTTATCACCTTGAAAGCCTTAAAACCTGGTTGGAACAGACATGAGGCACCAGCTTCTTGCCCTCCGACAGAAAAGCGAGCCAAATAATTTCTTAAAGCTATCCTGAGCGGGGTTAGACTGCACCTGAGCAGGGACAAGTTGCGTGATCCAAACCTGCACATTAAACCAAACCCTCAATCCCAGCGCCCTTAACCCCTGAAGCCCTGAGCCCTGAACCCATGAGGCCTAAACCATCCAAAACCCTAAACCCTAANNCCCCCCCCCCCCCCCCCACCACCCTTGCTCGGCCTTGTGATCCCCACGTTGGGGGCCCAGGCCAGGGTGCCTTTGCTTCTTTTTCAGGGGTTTAGGGTTGAAAAGCTCATGCTCATGGTTCAAGGTTTAGGGTCACGTAGGCTTTAGGGCTTAGGGTTTAGGGTTTAGGGTTTGGAAAGTTTAGGGTTTAGCTGGTTTCAGGACGTGGGGTTTAGGGCTTAGGTTTAGGGTATAAGGGCTGAGCTGGCTTCAGGGGTTAAGGATGTTTGAGGTTTCAGGGCGTAGGCTTTAGGGCTTAGCGTTTTGGGGTTGTGCTGGTTTCAGAGGTTCTAGGACGTCGGGAGTCAGGGTACAAGGTTTCACGGAGGCAGTTTAGGGCTTCGGGTAGCATGTCGGTAGTCGCTGGGGCGAAGCTTCGGAAGTTTCGCTTTGCCGGGCTCTACATCCTCAATGCTTGCAGGTGCCTTGCTTTGCAGAGTCATCCGGGCTCTTGTTTTGAATTAAACCATCTACCCTAAAACCTAAACCATAGTATTCGCTTCAACGAGGCCTAAAAACTACCCCTACGAATCCTAATTTCCTCAATGGCAAAGGGAACGCAAGGGCTTGAAAAAGGATCCCGTGAAGCAAGCATTGCCTCATGCAAGTCATCAAGGTACCCCTACTTGGAGGTCGGGGGACCTCCCAAGTAGGTAATAAGTAGACTTATTATAAGTACCCGGCATAAAAGTCTCTAAAACAACTACTGACTAAGTCCCCCGACCCTCCAAGTAAGCAGCTCGGAAGAAAGTAACGCACCGTCCCTTAGCAGCTGGGACCTCGTGGAAAGCACGTGTGACGGAGTGGTTGAAGCTTGGGGTGTCCGATGTCCCACTCTGACTCGCGGAAATTGGGCACGAGGCTCAGTCAATCCGCTTCCTTCGCCAAGAGCCCCGACGCACGTCAAGCCAGCACTAAACTAAACCCCAAAAAACCCAAACTCTAAACCCCAAACGCCCTGAGCGCTAAATCCTATAAGCCCTAACAAAAGCCCTAAGCACAAAGTCTTAACCCTTACTGCAACTCGAGATCGACTCATGGAGGGTCGGGGGACTTAGTAGGTAGGTAAGAAGTAGAGCTATACGTAGCCTTCAGGGTTTAGGGCTTAGGGTATCCTAATCCGGGCTATGATGCTTGAAATCTATCTTTGTTCGTAGAAACTAACTACTTACTAAAATCCCCTACCCTCCAAGGAATCTGTACCCATTCTGTGATGTTCTTACTCCTCCAAAGAATTCAGGGAAATGAAAGGTTAAACTTTCAGATGCCTACTAGATTATAAGAACCCCAAAAGTTTCTAGGTTGGGTATTGGCGGACTAGGTGTTCAAGGCTTGGGCAAGTGGGTTCTAGGAAATGGGGCATGTTTAGGGTTCCACTACTTGGATGGGAGGGTCGGGGGACTTAGTAAGTAGGTAATGAGGGTTTAGGGTTCAGGGGTCTAGGGTTTAGTAGACATATAAGCACCCTCACCCCATTTAGCATGCCTTAAAGTCACTTGTTGATAAGTCTACTTACTATCTACTTACTAACAGTCCCCCGACCCTCCAACAACACGAGGCCAGTCGAGTAATTTCAGAAAGAGGGCAGCTGCTCGTTCCAGTTCCAAGCCGTTTTGTAAGCCTGTCAGAGCTGCCATTGTAGGCCAGCGAATGGTCACATCTGCGAGCCACACGTAGCCCAGCGTGCACGCTGTGGCCCAGAGGCGGTGCAGGCAAAAAGGATGGAAGACCTCCGGGGCAGCCTTTTGGAGGCGTTGCGGCAGCGCGGCCGCGGTGACCAGAACACTGCAGGGCAAGGGTGCCGCTTTGTCATGGTCTCGAGTGATGAGTTGCTGGTGCAGATGCTGCAAATATTCTTGTAGCGTGACGCTGGGCATGGTTGCCGACATGAAGGGTGCGCGATGTTGTCCGCGACGAATCGTGGTAGCGGGGCTCGTCTCCAGCTGCCACGAGAGCGTTGCGGCACGGTTCTTCTGTCATCGCGGCGCAGCCAGCGGTCAGGACCTTTGGCTCCAGCATGCCTGGGTGCGACAGCCGCGGTGCTGCGGGGCTTTTTATTTTCCGCAATGGATCGGCTGTTGCGTTTGCATCTGGAAATTATGGCTCGTGCGGACGGGTTCGGTCGCTCCACACCTACACATGACGGTCTTGAGCTGATATAGTCTTTAGCTCTGCTGCTTGTCGTGGAACCATGTAACTGTTTCCACGCATGCGTTCTGAATTCTTGCTGTGGATGCTGTTGCTTCAACTCCAAAGCTGCTTGCCGCGTTTCTTTGCTTTTGTTCTGCGCAGGCCGCGAGCCTTGCTTATTACATCTGCTGAGGCTGCGACTTTGCGTGAAGGCATCCTAGGGATTGCCTAGCTGTTCCTTCTCGACAAAGTGGAGGCGCACCTGCGGGTCGTCATGGAGGCATGCATGTGGTGCTTTCGGGCGGGCGGCGGGCCGGGAGCACGTTTTGGATCATGTCCATGACCTGCGCTGGTCGCCACCACCGTCGTATGCTTCGGGTAAGCGTGCTCCAAATCAGGCGAGTGATCCGGTCGGCCAGCCGGACTGCCTGCAGTGGCGACGCGTGGCACGCGTCGCGGTGATGCGGCTGCTGTTCCGACTGAAGCCTGTTGGCGCAGTGAGTGGTATCGATACTCTTGCCTTTCTTGGACAGTCAGCTTGTCATCCTCTCCGGTACACACGAGCTTCACCTGGCAGCGGCATGACGGGGTCCGGAAGTCGGCTTCGATTTTCCCGTCATGGCCTCCTGGAGGCTGCTTGCAGGTAGCGCTCGGTACTGGGCGAGCAGGGTCGTCAGTCGAGGCTCCTTTCGAGGTGCATCTTGTGTTGCGGTCTTTTCTGGTAACAGCCGATGTCCTATATGATTGCTTGCCGCATGCGCACATGTACATCTGCATATGCACACATACACATCTGTGTCCCGAACGGCGACGCGTGCTTGAGCCATGTCGGTGCCGCAGCGGATGGAAGATGCTTGCCGAGTTGTACAGTGCTGGAACCTGCCGGGGCCCAGACGCTGCTGGCGAGGGCAGGCTTGGTCGTTGGCGTGGGTGCTTCTTCTCTGGGACAGGTGGAGCTCTTGCGTGTGCTTCTTGGATCCGTGGTGCGTGTCTGAGTGTCTGTTTCCATCCAGGCTGTTGGTTCGTTCCTCTCACGTGGCGAGGCTGCTGTGCCGCGTCCGTTGTTGTTTCTGGATGTTCTAATTCTATCATCACGGGAGTGTCGTGTCCGCTGGCTGGGTTTACTGCCTGACGCTTAGGGCTTAAGAGGCTTGGCTCATTCGTCCTTTGGCTTCTTGTATCTTCTTGTTTGTTCTTTTTCTTTTTTTGTGTTGATCTGTGCATCTGTCTTTCTTTCTCTGTTCTTTCTTTGTTCGTCTTCTTATCGTTCCTTGCGTCCTCTTTCTTCCAAAGGCACTGAAGTTGTTCCTCACCCCGGGCTTGATCGTCGTATTGGTGTAATCGCCGTGGGACCTGGGCGCGTTTTGGCTTGATTGGCTCGGGAAGGAGACCTGCTCTGGCTTTTCAGGATCCCTGTCTGCTTCTTTGTTGCCGCGAGGCTGCGACTGCGGCTTTCGTTCTCGTTGTCGCTTGCCTCGGCTTGCGAAGCTTTTTTTGTTAAACACTAGCAGGAAGGGTGGAGGAGCGGGTTCTTGTAGACACTGGGCCGCGGGGTTTTGCAGGTGGGTGCATACCAATCACAGGCGGTCATTGGGGCCTCGCGAGCTGCTTGTATTTTTTTCTGCTGCCGTTCCGTCGAGTCGGGGTAGCTCTTAGTTGGTGCTGCATGTACTGCCGCGGTACGCTGCATTGCCCCCGGTCACGAAGGAGCCGTCGTTGAGGATGGCAGCAAATGCTTCCTGGGAGTCTTGCATCTGTCGAACTCCGCTGAGGCCATTGTCACCGCCGCTTGGCCAAATGCCCCAAGTGACCACGGAGCCGTCGGTTAGAATTGCAGCGAATGCTCGATCGGTGGCTTGTACATGTCTTGCTCCTTTGAGCTTGTGCTCTACCGCGCTGCTGTCGCCACCTGCTCGGGGGCAGCACGTCACCACGGATCCGTCCGCGAGGATGGCAACGAGAACTTGTTCGGAGGCTTGTTGGCTCGCACCTTCTTGAGCAGGTCGCACACGGCCGCACTGTCGCCTCCATGCTGCGGGTTTCCCCAGGTCACGACGGATCCGTCTGTGCGTATGGCTGCAAATGCGTCGATCGTGGACTGAATGTTCTTGACATCTTTTAGCAGGTCTTCGACGGCCTCGCTGTTGCCGCCGGCCTAAGCGGCGCCCCAAACGGAGCCGTCGTGGCGGATGGCTGCACAGGCGGAGTCGGTGGCTTGGATGTGCTGGACGCGCTGGAGCTGCTCCTGCACCACGGAGCTGTTGCCACCGCGCCAGGCTTGGCCCCACGTCACGCTGGACCCATCAGCACGGATGGCGGCGAAGGCATACTGCGAGGCTTGGATCCGCGTCACGTTGCGGGGGGACTCGTGCACCTCGCTGCTGTCGGCGCCGCTGTCGGGTTGACCGCAGGTCACGACGGAGCCATCCTGGCTAGTGCGTGAGCTCGACACTCTGGCACAGGGAGGGACTCCGGGAGGGCCCTAAACCCTAAACCCTGCTTGAACCCTAAGAACCGTCTTCATCGCTTCCTAGCATGTTTTCTGTATGTAAGCCTCTAAAAAGGTAGGTTCGATAGGGTCCAGGTGGACCTTAAACTTAAACCCTAAACCCTAAACCCCTAAACCCCAAAACCCCAAAACCCTAAACCCTAAACCCCTAAACCCCTAAACCCCAAAACCCCAACACCCCAAAACCCTAAACCCCAAAACCCCAAAACCCCAAAACCCCAACACCCCAAAACCCTAAACCCTAAACCCCTAAACCCCAAAACCCCAAAACCCCAACACCCCAACACCCCTAAACCCCAAAACCCCAAAACCCCAAAACCCTAAACCCCTAAACCCTAAACTTCAAGCCCTGAAGCGCAAACGACACAGCAAACCAGGGTCTCCCACCACATCCACATACATCGAGTCGGTCCTGATACGATGTAGGCTTTAGGGTTTAGGGTATAGGGCTTAGGGTTCAGGGTTTAGGGTTTAGGGTTTGGGGTTTAGGGTTGCAAGGGTTTAGGGTT